TTACCAACACTCTTATATGGGTGTGAAGCATGGGTGATGAATGTTGCAGCGAGGAGAAGGCTGGAGGCAGTGGAGATGTCATGTCTGAGGGCAATGTGTGGTGTGAATATAATGCAGAGAATTCGTAGTTTGGAAGTGTAGGAGGAGGTGTGGGATTACCAAAACTGTTGTCCACAGGGCTGAGGAAGGGTTGTTGAGGTGGTTCGGACATGTAGAGAGAATGGAGCGAAACAGAATGACTTGAAGAGTGTATCAGTCTGTAGTGGAAGGAAGGCGGGGTAGGGGTCGGCCTAGGAAAGGTTGGAGGGAGGGGGTAAAGGAGGTTTTGTGTGCCAGGGGCTTGGACTTGCAGCAGGCGTGCGTGAGCGTGTTTAATAGGAGTGAATGGAGACGAATGGTTTTTAATACTTGACGTGCTGTTGGAGTGTGAGCAAAGTAACATTTATGAAGGGGTTCAGGGAAACTGGCAGGGCGGACTTTAGTCCTGGAGATGGGAAGTACAGTGCCTGCACTCTGAAGGAGGGGTGTTAATGTTGCAGTTTAAAAACTGTAGTGTAAAGCACCCTTCTGGCAAGACAGTGATGGAGTGAATGATGGTGAAAGTTTTTCTTTTTCGGGCCACCCTGCCTTGGTGGGAATTGGCCAGTGTGATAATAAAAAAAAAAAAAAATTATTTTACTCTTTTCTATGTTCACTTTCAACTTTGCACCTTTACACACACTCCCAAGCCTGTCCAGTAACCTTTGCAACTTCTGTTTAGAATCTCCTATAAGCACAGTATCATCGGCAAAAAGTAACTACTATGTCAGTTCCCATTTTGTATTTGATTCCTTATAAATTTAATCCCACCCCCCTCTCCTGAACACCCTAGCATTTACTTGTTTTACAACCCCATCTATAAATGTATTAAAGAACCTTGGTGACATTAAACATCCCTGTCTAAGATGCACTCGACTGAAGAACTGAAGAAGCCTACTGTGTAGGCAAAATGTTTCGGAATAAAGTTGCCTAACTGTTGCCTATGTGTCTTACATACCAACCTGTCGGTATTGTATACCATTTTGATATTCAGTCATACAAGGAAAGTTGTGTATGTAGATGACATCTTTCCTCTTTGGCCTCATGACTGTAGCCACTGTGTGGCTTCATCAGTACAATACAAAGTGGGCCAACAGGCCTGCTGCAGTGTTCCTCCTTTCTTATGTGTTTTAAGTGGGAATCTTATTCCTTGCTTCCTTTCCTTGATGTTAATGTCCACCTCTCAGATACAGGTTTTGGTTTTTCCATGTAGCACAAGCCTATGTACAGTGGCATATACATTCACTACTGTGATAAATGGTTTGAAAACTGACAAGTTGAAGATTGAGACACTTATGCAACATATTGGAATATTTATTAAGGAAACATTTCGCTACACAATGGCTTCTTCAGTCCAATACAAAGTAGAGAGGGGCAACATTTCACTTTCCAGGAACTTTGTCAAGCTGATGCAAACAATACATGGACACAGAGGGTATATATAGGCTTTGAGTGAGGTGTGGTACAAGTAGAGGTGGTAGTAGTTGTAGTTGTTCTTATGTTCTTATACATGTGGTGGGAAAGTTTTGGGTAGGGATAGTTTTGATAAGGACCTGCCTTGTATGGTCCAGTAGGCCTTCTGCAGTGTTCCTCCATTCTTACGTTCTTACGTACCACGGTTATTTCATCATTTCGTGAATGTCAGTTGTCACCCGTTCATATATCTTGATTCACGAACATGACTGATATCACCAATAAGCAAAAGTAAAGGCAACATTTAGGCAACTTGATTTCGGAATAAAGTTGCCTATGTGTCTTACCTACCAACCTGTCGGTATTGTATACCATTTTAACATTCAAGCAAAAGTAAAGCTCAAAATGTGATAATTACCTGACCCTTTGTCTGTTTAATCCAGCCACATATACACCACCTGGACCAAACTCACTGGTGGGCGGTGCAGCAGACACAGTATGTAACGTCACTGATGACTGATCATAGTGATGCCAGGGCGATTAAGGGTTTTTCCAAAACGTCAAAAATAAAATTATCGATTTATCGTAGTTTATCATACGGCATCATTGATTTTCCCTATAATAGGCTATAGAAACAAAGGATTTTTCTCTTATGTTGCTGCAGCACTTCTTAGTATGGGCCAGTAGGCCTGCTGCAGTGTTCCTCCTTATGTTCTTAGTGTCACCTTCTTTAGAGGCTCTTTGGTGTCACTCCCTAAATGGTGTCACTCGGGGTCCCCCCCCCAACGACACCTCTGTTAGTGTCGTCACGATCGGCCGAGTTTATTCATTTCATAATTAAACTGCCACGAGAGACTGAGAATGTAAACACAGATGAACACAACAGCTAAAGTTTGTATTGTGAAGTTGTTTTGTATTTCTTGTATTTTTGTATACATTTTCTGTTGTTAGTGCTGGTGCACTTTTATCTTGTATTATGGGGTGCACGATTAAGTAGAAATTTATTGGAGTTTGCTCGATAATGAGGTCCATCACTAACCAATTTACAATGAACTTGCATTGTTTTTTTTTCTTTTTGTTGTTTCAATGTTGTTGCATTTGTATCTTTTTGTATGGGGGACATAAAGTATGAAAAATTTGAAAACATACTAGTTCGGGAATTTAAAAGCTAGCGTACGAGCGGCCGTAAGAAGCGAGCGGTCAACGTCGAGACGACCCCCCCTCCCGTCTCTGCAAACGAGTCATGTGGGGCCCCGCAAACCCCGACTCGGACAGCCCGTGCAACTTCGAGTGTCGGTAAACGGTAGTCGGCGAGCGGGGAAAAGAGGCCACACAGGGGTTCATGCACCGTTGGGCTGCGAGGGCGGAACTCAAAAAAACGTCGTTTTTTTTTTCCCGTCCATATTTTGTGCACAATTATTAAATTTAATTTGAATAAATTTTTTTGTGCTTTTTTGGTGTGTTATTGAAGTGTGTTGGAGGAAGAAAAAGATGATATTTTTATTTATTATTTATTTTTTTTTTTCAAACTGGTTGTATCCACCAAGGCGGGTCCCCAAAAAAAAGAAAAACAAAAGTTTGTCTTTTTAAATTTAGTAATTTTTACGATATGGGAAACAAAATATTTAGTTAATGAAATTTGGGGTTTTAAATTTTGGATTAACCTTAAAATTAACAAAGGGGGGGGGGAAGGGGGGGTTTGTGAAAAAGGACATTTTACATGGAAGAAAAGAAGAGAATGGTGAGGTTAGTGGTACCAAATGTTTATATGGGTGTAAAGGGGTTGTAAATGTTGTAGAAAGGGAGGGAGGGGGCAGACAGTGGAAAATGTTATTATTATTGTTGTTGTGTGTGGAGAAATGTGAGGAGTGAATATTATGCCAAGGTTTGTAGGTCGGAGATTAAAAGGGGTGGGGTTTGTTAAAAGGCAGCGGCCCTTTACTCGGGATTGCACCCACGTGCGAGTTTTGCGATACGAGCGGCGTCGGTCGATTTTTGGCTTGGACGGAGGGGCCTCGGGGGGGAGGTAATTGCACTGGTTGGGGGTCTGCTCTCGATAGGGAAATTGGGATCTCGGTCTTTTGTGGGAAATACGTTATCGAACTGGGCAACGTAAGAGAAAAGGGGGCTCCTTAAACGTAGCCAAAATGAAAGAAATTGGACCGTAAATAACGGGGTTGTCAGCCCTTGGCTTTCCCTTTTAGCGGTTATTTTCGTACGGCTTTAAGGTTGTATTCACGTTTTATTTGGTCTGTGTGATAGAAAAAATTTTAATACAAAAATAAAATTTATTTTAATTGGTTTCACCATTAAAAGTACTTTGAATTGAGCTGAAAATTGTAGAGATGTTTGTTTTTTTTGCGACATCAGTGGTGCTGATGAGGGAGGAGGGCAGACAACATGAGCGTAGTGGCAACAAATGAAGCAGGAGTGGCAAAAAATGTAGCATTAAAGGCGCAGCAATTAAGTGAAGCTTAAGAGGTAGCAGTTATAAGTTAATTTTTTGTTGGAAATTGTTTATTGTTTGGGTTTTCCTAGGTTCTTTACATTGTAGTCGGGGCAGGATGGGGCGCGTGGTGGCCCTTAAATCTAACAACAGTGGTGTTGTCACAACCCGTAGGCACAAACCTAATGACTTTTAATTTATTCTTGTGGTGTATATGTCATGTTTCTATGTTTTTAAATATTGTTTATTATGTCATATTTCATGAATTGTGATAGATAAATAAGTTGTAGAGGTGATACTAGGGAAATTATTAAAGTATTTTCTCGTGCCTGGAATTCCACCGGAATGAATTAATTTAATTTCAGTTAACGTAAAAAAAAGGAAAATTGGGACTCTGCAAACGAGCAAACCATCTGCCGCCAAGGTCAGGAATGGATTAAAGTCCGAGTAGAGGTTCCACCGTAGTGTCACGCAGAGGAAGGAAGAGGGGTCATCGAGGCGGTTCGGACGACGAGAGAGGACAGAATCAAACCGCGAGGGCGTATAAATCTGTAGCGGAGGGAAGGCAGGGTAGGGGTCATAGTAGGAAAGGTTGGAAGGAGGAGGAGGTTATGAGAAGGGATTAGACATTGAGGGGAGTATGAGAGTGTTAGATAGGAGTGAGTGGAGACAAGTTGTTTTTGTGATGTGAAATGAGTTGGAGAGTGAGGAAAGTAACATTTAGAAAGGGACTTTGGGAAACTGGTTATGTGGAATTTATTCTGGAGGCGGGATGTATGTATGTACTGTGCTTGCACTGTGAAGGAGGAGGAGGATTGGGGATATTGCAGTTTTGAATTGTAGTGTCAGTGTGCTTCTGGTAAGACAGTGATGGAGTGAGTGATAGTGAAAGTGTTTGTTTGTTTGTTTTTCAGGTTTTTAGACACTGCAACTTTAAGAGAAATGATTGATGTATAATGAAACCAGTTTTAGCACATTGTAATTGATATAAAGATGACGGTTGCACAAGTGCACCTTTAGCACTCACTGCAACAGGTTTAAATCAAGGAATAATTGTTTGCAGAGCGGAAATTGTAAGGAGCAGCACCTGCTACGAGGCAGTTGAAAAACCAAGTGCACACAGGCAGCGGCTCCGACTGGGAATCTGCTGCCAGTCATTGACATCGTAGCGAAAGGACATTAAGTGAGGACCTAATGTACTTTGTTATTTTACACATTATTTTGTACAGACGATCAAGTTCTTAGTTTTGAGGGGAAAAAATTGACAAATGCATGCATTGAACATTTTATGAGTAATTTATAAAATATCTGACTGACTGACCGACTGATGACTGACTGACTGACTCTGACTGACTGACTGTGTCTGACTGACTGACTGTGTCTGACTGACTGACTGACTGTGTCTGTCTGACTGAGTGAGTGAATGAGTGAGTGAGTCTGTCTTGGACTCGGTAGTGTAGTTTTTGAGGATGGAGCTGAAGATGGTGTAGTTTTTATTTGTAATTTATGGAATTATTGTGACATGAATTTTGTTGGACTTTATTCATTGTAAATTAAAATAGAGAATAATTTAAATTTTTTTAATTTTCAGTATAAAGTTGGCAAAGATTGGAGACAAGACTTGTACTACCCAATGCAGCGTCATCTTCTGAAGGCGTACAACATTATTAATCAAAAGATTGACAGTGCTTTCCTGAAAGTCCTGAGCTGTCTAGTAAGGTTTAAATGATGTTGGTGATTGAGTTTAGATTTTATCAAATTTAACATTACTCTTAAGAATATCCATTTGTACATGTATATGTACAGATGGATATTCTGTTTTTGTAAACAGTGTCATGAAAAGTAAGTCATTGTGCTGGAACTCAAAATATACGTTTGAAGATGGCAATGTCTGCCGTCTTAAAACATCAGGTATTTGTTTGTACTTTGCTGCATTACATAGCATACTGTATCCACTTGCATAGGTGGTATACACTCTGTTGTTTGCATCTCTTTCGTTGTGGAGCATTATCTGTGCCGAATGTTGCTTTTCTTGTTTCGTCCTTACTGCTGCCACTTGTTACTTTGTGATTTTAATGACCATTATTTCCACTTGGGGGGGGGGGTCTTGCTGTGATTCCTGTGTTGTTCAGTTGGAGGCTTTTCTTGCTTCTTACTCTGTCCATGTTTTAAAAACAGGTACTTGAACCCATTTTGATTCTTGTACTCATACTCTCTCTTGCATTGATGTGTTAGTGTGCTGTTGCTGCACTGCACTAGACTTTGTCCAGTCTGTTCTCTTGGAATTAGATGGCAGCGATCATTTTTGAATCAGTTTTACTTGTCCTTCATATTAAGCACCTCTTTGTAGGCCACGTTGGCAATTGAATGGAGCAAATTGGGACCTTTACTGACAAGTAATTGATTTTAATGAGGTTACTTGTCTGTCCTCCATTGAAGAGGTTTTACGCCTCTTGTCGTCCTCAGTTTGAAGTGCCGCTCGTCATTGTATACCCCAAACCTAAGGCAGGCATTGTCAGAAGTGCGTGCCTGGGTGGTGTCGCGCTCGTGCACGTGCAGTACGTCCGAAATGCAGTGCGTGGGGCAGGCATCAGTACGTTAGAAGCGCCGAGAGAATTTTTGAGTTTAAGCAGGGGTGCGGTCGCCGGCCGTGTCATTTGCGACGATAAATGCACTTGCCGGCGAGATTACGTCTGCACCACCGTCTGTGCTTCGTCAATGAATGCAGTCTGGAAAAAAGTGGGGAAATTGAGTGGCAAATAGTCTACCGACCCGGCTCCCATTCTCCGGGTTGCAGGTGTCGACGTAGCAAACCCTCTTGACGTTGCCATTGAAATTGGCAATTATCTGGTCTGTATTTCTCAGGGGCTCCATCTATGGCCCTCATTTCTTTCTTGAAAGTGCCATAGAGTTAGCACCCTTGGATTTTTGTTTTGTCAAAGAAGAAGTGTATAATGTGCCTTTTACTGTGTCATCATGTGTGGTTGTTTTAGAGTCTGTCTGTCTGTCTGTGCTTTACAGGCTATAGAAAAAGTTGATACACCTCTCCCCGTAGTTGTCTGTATCCAACTTTGGTTACACTCTATCTCTAACAAGTATAAATGTATTGGTTTTTGTTGGGTCCCTGGTCATGTTGATGTACTGGGCAATGAAGATTTAGACAATGGTGTGTGGTGAAGAGTACACGACGTTGCAGTTTGATATAGAGGTGTTGCGTTCGTGGATTATTTTACTGTTATAGCTATTAACCTTGACACCCGTCGACAAGAACGTTGGCGTGCTCTGCCGAATAACAAACTGTGTCGTATTAAACCAAGTATAGGGTATTGGCCGTCGTCGTGTCGTAAGTAAGTACATAAGTTTATTCAGGCATACACAAATACTGTTACATAGATTATCATACATAGCAGCATATGTGCAAAGAACCTAGGCTAACCCAAAAAAGTCAGACAATGACTTATTTCCATGGGGGTTCTTTTACCTTATTATTATAATATAAAGGTTATAATAGATTCTTATTATTGTATAATGAAGATAACATCTTATTAATGTACTAGAAGACCATCTACTACACGAGGGTCATTAAGACTATCTACAATATGAGGATCATTACTAGGAATAAGGTAAAATTACACTTCTTTCTTTCTTTCAACACACCGGCCGTATCCCACCAAGGCGGGGTGGCCCAAAAGGAAAAATGAAAGTTTCTCCTTTTACATTTAGTAATATATACAGGAGAAGGGGTTACTAGCTCCTTGCTCCCGGCATTTTAGTCGCCTTTTACAACACGCATGGCTTACGGAGGAAGAATTCTGTTCCACTTCCACATGGAGATAAGAGGAAATAAACAACAAGAACAAGAACTAGAAAGAAAATAGAAGAAAACCCAAAGGGGTGTGTATATATGTGCTTGTACATGTATGTGTAGTGTGACCTAAGTGTAAGTAGAAGTAGCAAGACATACCTGAAATCTTGCATATTTATGAGACAAAAAAAAAAAAGACACCAGCAATCCTACCATCATGTAAAACAATTACAGGCTTCCGTTTTACATTCACTTGGCAGGACGGTAGTACCTCCCTGGGCGGTTGTTGTCTACCAACCTACTACCTATAAAATTACACTTGTGTTAGCTAAAAAATAAAAAATCATTCCCCTCCCTTTCTGTAGCTACATTAATCAGACACCTTTTGGCACTCTTCTTGAATTGGTTCATGCTATGACTGGCTTTGAAATGTGTGGGCAGTCTGTTCCATTCCTTTATTGCTGTACAATAAAAGGTGTTTGAAGCCTGGCCACTGACTGTGGATACTACAAAGTTGTGCTCTCTCCCCTTAGTACTATGATTGCTTTGGTTCCCAACTTTGACAAAATTGACAGCACGATATTTTGGACACTGTTTGTGAGCAATTTTATAAACATGATTTAGCTTCAGATTTTTAACTCTGTCTTTAATATTCAACATATCCAACTGCTGTAATTCATTCTGTCTTACATGCTCTCTTGGATCCAGGTCTAGGATGAATCTTACAATTTTGTTCTGGGTGATTTGTAGTCTATCTTTCAGTTTTTTTGTCAAGGCAGAGTACCATGAAGAGCAAGCGTAATCCATATGACACTGTATAAGGGCTAGACATAGGGTACTGTGAGCCTCAGTAGGTAGACACTGTGCTTGTCTATAGAGGAACTTTTTTCTGGTATTCGCTTTCTTTACTACACTGTTCCTTATCAATTTTCCTGACATGCATGGGTCGAAGGGGATTCCCAGATATTTTACTGATGAAATCAAACTGATGGGCTCCCCGTGGACGTTAAAATTATTTACCCTTCTCACTTTTTGTTTCGTGCCAAAGAGAATGGATTCAGTTTTCCCGAGGTGCAATGATAGTTTTTTGTCTACTAACCATTTGCTGCAGGACTCCAGTTGCAGTGTTAATACATTAGCTATATCTTGTGGGTCTTTACCTGACATGAACAGAGCACTGTCATCTTGATACAGTAGGAGTTTGCACTTGACACTGATAGGCATGTAATTGACATAGCATAAGAATAATAAGGGACCCAGAATGCTACTTCGAGGAACTCGAAACGCTATCAGTTCTGATTCCATTTTGTTGATTTTAACAGTTTGTCTCCTGTTGCTAAGGTAGGACTTAAACCAGTCTACAGAACTTATACCAATAGCTTGAAGTTTCTTACATAATATATTGTGGTTGACAGTATCGAAGGCCTTTTGCAGGTCTAGGTTTACTGTATCTATGAGGTTCCCCATTGACATTTCAGTTCTCAGGTAATCCATCAGATTAATTAGGGAGGTGTCGGTTGAGTAAGATGTTGTGAAGCCCGATCGGTAGCTACGGAGAATGTTGTTGTCATTAAGGTACTTAGCTACTTGACAGTACACCGCCCTCTCTAGAATTTTGGATATTATACTGAGTATACTAACAGGCCTATAGTTGCTTACATCAGACCTACTATTTTTCTTGAAGATAGGAGTAACTCTGGCCTCCTTGAACCCCTCTGGTACGGTATTAGTGTTGATTGACAGATTTATTATGTGAGTAATAGGGATTGACAGTTCAGAAGCACCATCTTTTAGGAACTCGTATGGGATGTTATTCGGGCCAGTGCATGACCAGAGAGTTTTAATCAACAGTTTTATCTGTCTAAATCCCCCTCAATTCTATTTATTGGGGGTTGTGTCGTGTTGTTGACTCATGACCTGGTCTGCTGTCTCAGCCATTTTGAAAAGCACTGAGGGAAGTAAACGCCATGTACAACGTGACTTTTCTTGAGTTTTATAGGTAGATTTGGCTTTTTCTGCTATGATTCTCTCACTGTACTCTGGTCAGCTGAATATAGGTCAACTACTAAACTCTGGCTGTTTAACCATTCACTCGTTTTCCACGACTGGTCGTCAGTGTCGAGAGTAGTCTCTCTTATGCGTTTACATTGGCCACACTAGTCTTACTGATGGATATCTTACGGAGAGGCGCGTTGCTGCTATCAACGTTGTGTTTGCTCTGCTGCTCTCTCTTTACCTTGCCTCGTTGGTGATGGAGCTTCATTTCATTTTGACTGTGTCATTGACTTTTTCACAAGAACCGACTTTGTCCAGGAACTGATGATGATGATAATAATAGCACTTTTCTTTGCCCTTTGTACCTCAATCTCTTTCTATGCTTTTCCCTTGCAGTATCCCCTGCCCTGCTGTTTTCTGTAACTTTGTAATCGTCCAATTGTCCTTTTGCCGTCCTATACTTTCATTTTCTTCCCTGCCCTGTGGTGCTGTATAGCCGTTGTGGTTTAGCATTATTTTTTTTTTTGATTATAATAATAAAAATTTAGAGGCTAATATTGTTTTAGTGTGGTTGTGATGAAGTGTAGCTTGAACCTTGTTGATTACAGTGTTGAAGAATTTAAAGCATTAAAAAATGTCAATAAATTTTCATTTTGAATAATTGTATGAAAATGTTATATTTTGTTTGGTGTCAAAGTTATTTTCAATATTTTTGGTTTGTGGAAAGTGTTCTAGTATTGTGAGTGTGTAAATCTGGAAAGTTTGAGTGTTGTCATTGTAGGTTGTGGAAATGTTGCAGTATTTTTTAATGTATGTAAAAGGTAAATGAGGTACATACAGTGGAACCTTTAGTTTGGAGTGCATCCTCGTACGAGTCTTTACAGTTACGATCAGTTGGTCGGTAAATTTTTTGT